GGCAGGGCCTCAACTCGGGCCGGAGTCGGGGGCCCTTGGGCGGCTCCCAGCACAGAACGGGAGCAAGAGCCAGTCCCCGTCCGAGGGGGCCAGGGATTGAATTCTCCTTGTATAACAGATGGGGAAACTGAGGAACACTGAGGTTGAGCGAGTTATTCAAAGTCAAACGGAGAGTCTCCCCTCCTGTGCCCAGCGCTTTGCCTTGGCCACAAGGTAAAGGTGGCCAATAACCCACATGGGATCGCCAAGCGTTGCCGGGTGGCGTTGACCCCGTTCTCAGTTACCAAATGCCCAGCTCCCTGCGCCCGTGGCCAGGAGGTTTCCCACTGCCCAGCGGAAGCTGCTGTGGATTTTCCAGTTGAGGTGCCTGGGGCGCTTGGACCTTCCAGTCCTGGTTTGCTTTCCCAGGGCAAGGGAACCAGAGAGCAGACGAGCCCACCCAGCAGCCATGGCAGGGCCAGGGGGATTTAGCACCACTGCCCCATGCACAATTTCACAGAACTGGGGCTGCAGAGCTCCTGGCTGGCACGGAGGGGGGGGGGGGGGAGGGGGGGCTGCTTGCTCTGCTTGGCTCATGTTACCTGGGGCAGGACAGGGCAGCCCCCTCCATGGGACATGTCTCCAGCCAAGAGGAGAGGGCAAGGCTGCTCCACACAGCGTCCCCTTGCTAGACAGGAGAGGTGCTGGTCAGTAAAGGCTCTGGGGATGTGGGTGCCTGGGCCAGGCGGTGCCGGTGATTCAGCAGTAGGGGGAGGGGGCATTGGTGCCTGAACTGGAGGGTGCCCCATGGCTGGGTGGTAGGGGATGACTGGTGGGCCAGGAGATGTCCCATGGCTGGGCAGTAGGGGCCGGGGAGGGAAGAGGACAGCCGAGCCAGACATGAGCACTCATGCTTGAACCTTGTGAGTCTGAAACCCTGGCTGAAGTGATTTTGCACTTGGGCAACAAAATGGTGCCTTCTCCTCCCTTACTGATGACATTTTAGTGTAGGATCACAGCAATGTTTAGCAGACCTCAACTGTGAGCAACCAGATACTCTCAGCATTGTCACTTAGCTGGAAGCTTCAGTCAGCAGGGCCGCCTTAGCATTTAAGAGGCCTGATGTAGTATTATTACCCTGGTGCCCCTCTGCTCGACTTGGTCTTAGCTACACAACATAAGCTTACATGTCCTCACAGAGATCCCCAAACCCTCTCCCTCATGCAGAATGTGCTGTGCTTGTGCATTCAGCTATGTGGATACAGGCCCTGCCTGAGGAGACTGCAGTGCACGCTGAGTGTGTGGGAGCCAGCCACTCGTACGTGCTGTCTTGGTGGTCAGGGCCAGAATGTGATTGTAAGTGCCCCACAACCCATCGGGCAGCTCCCATTTGGTGGCACAGCCGTGCTGAAGCAGGGTCCCTAGTTGCAGGAACTGGCATTTTGGAAGTAACAAGTCAGTTATAATAAATGTATGTTAGAGCAAAAGGTTTATATTAAACTTAAATTTAAGAGGTAGGCCTCAGACAGGCCAGGCAGCTCTGTCTGATGTCAGCGTATTGAAGGGAAAAGACGGCCCATTGTAATGCACAGTGATGTAGTATTAGGCAAGGCCTTTTGTAGCTAGAAAGCAGTTTAATGCTGAAAGACTTTGTACCTTTGTTACAGTGACTAGAAGAGCCTGTTTGCTCCACGCTGCGATTGTGTGAATGGGCTGTTTGTGGGAATGAGAGAGTGTTTTAGGAGTGATGAGTGCGAAGGCCACTGCATGCTCAAACCGTCAGAGGAGGGGCCAGAGACTCCAAAGCATCAAATAATAATCGACGCAGTGAAAGCTCACTGAAGAGCCAGACGACCGGGGGCAGACGGACGAACCCTGGAGCTAGTAGCCAGCATCCCTTGATATGGAACTGATAACAACAGCACCCTTGTCAGTGTGTGGCTATCACATGACTGTGAGAACTTCCTCCTGATAAGCACATGTGGTAGGAATATTGATTGCAATGCCCAGTGACTGATGGAGGCCTGACAAGGCAAAATGCATAGGCTTGCATGGAAGGAAAACCCAATAAGGCAGGGTTTCCCAATCTATGGGTTGGGACCCAAATATGGGTTGCCATTACATTTCAAAAGGGTTGCCAAGTGTCTCCCCTGGATGGACTCTCCTTCTACCCTGTCCACACCCCAGGTACCTTCACTGATGTCCCCCCACTTTCCCCTGTTTCTGAATTGCCTTGGGTCACCAGTCTTCATGAATTGTCAAAATGGGTCCCCATCTGGAAAAGTTTGGGAACCGCTGCTATAAAGGATCAGGTGTCTTGTACGGTTCTGCGGGTTCCCATTCTGCTAAGACCAAGTGGCGCATCCATCCAGACTGACAAGAACCTGGCTCCTTCCTCGCAGTTGACCTATCTGGCCAGTAAGTCGGGCCAAGCAAGAGACTGGTAACTATTCCATCAGCAGGATGTGTGTGTGTGTAAATGCATATGCTATTGTGTCATATTATCAATAAATGCAGTGTGTGGCCTTATCCCCTTGAAAAAGGTCCCATGTACTTCTAAGCATAACATGGTGGGCCAGAGGGTGCCCCATGGCTGGGTGGTGGGGGATGACTGGTGGGTCAGAGGGTGCCCCATGGCTGGGCCATAGGGGGTGACTGCTGGGTCAGAGGGTGCCCCATGGCTGGGCCATAGGGGGTGACTGCTGGGTCAGAGGGTGCCCCATGGCTGGGCCATAGGGGGTGACTGCTGGGTCAGAGGGTGCCCCATGGCTGGGCCATAGGGGGTGACTGCTGGGTCAGAGGGTGCCCCATGGCTGGGCCATAGGGGGTGACTGCTGGGTCAGAGGGTGCCCCATGGCTGGGCCATAGGGGGTGACTGCTGGGTCAGAGGGTGCCCCATGGCTGGGCCATAGGGGGTGACTGCTGGGTCAGAGGGTGCCCCATGGCTGGGCCATAGGGGGTGACTGCTGGGTCAGAGGGTGCCCCATGGCTGGGCCATAGGGGGTGACTGCTGGGTCAGAGGGTGCCCCATGGCTGGGCCATAGGGGGTGACTGCTGGGTCAGAGGGTGCCCCATGGCTGGGCCATAGGGGGTGACTGCTGGGTCAGAGGGTGCCCCATGGCTGGGCCATAGGGGGTGACTGCTGGGTCAGAGGGTGCCCCATGGCTGGGCCATAGGGGGTGACTGCTGGGTAGGGGTACCTTGCTGGTGCTGGGTGCGCAGGGGATGGGAGAGCATCTGGCTCTGCTCCCTGGGCTCCACACCACCCACTCAGTTGCCGGGAGAGGGTCTGCAGCTCACTGCTGACTGGCCCCTGGAGCCGAAGTGGGTGGGGTTTCCTCCGGCCGAGCTGACACATGAGAGATGGAGGCCTGTGGAGAATTTGAAATTACCATGCCCAGAACCATTAATGTTTGGGCCCCAATTTGCTCCGCACAGATGCTGGGGTC